TTAATTTTCCCTTCGAAAATTCCGCCCTTCGCGACACATCTGCAGCTCTTAAAGACGAGAGCAACGATTTTCCAAAAAACTAACAAACTAATTTCTCCCGTGAGAATAATTTCGAAACGTTCCAGCAACAATAAAAGATCCTCGTCTCACAAGTAACCCTTCCACGCGATAGTGTTATAAACCGTGCGAACGAGAAGGTCTGAACAGTGATGAAACCGTGGTGAAAATAAGTCGTAGCGGAAATCGATCGATATCGCCACCCCATGATCGGTCTCCGCCTCGGAACCATGATCGGCTGAGTAGCTTGTCGCTCTCCAAATTTCCCTCTGGTGCAGCGTCGATTCGTTCGAGCGGGAGAATTAGCAGTGACACGTAGAAGGGCACTCGAGCCGCGCCAGAACGAAAGCGTAGAGAGAGAGAGAGAGAGAGAGAGAGAGAGAGAGAGAGAGAGATTTATTAGCAGCCGAACAAAGTTGGCGGCTGATGGAAGCGGCGTGACGTCTAAATCATTCAGCTCGTTCAATAATGCAGAAACGCGACGCCACCACCGTAGGATTTAGGTCAGATTCCCAAAACAGCCACGACCTGACCCCGTCCACGGGACAACGAACGTCAAATTGAACGATTCGCCTACTGAAATTCATATCGCGTTTCGTTCAGAAACCTTTCAAGAATAGAAAAAGTTGCAGAAGTCGGAGATGCAAGAATGAACGATTAGATGGGATTAGTTGTCACTTATAAGGCGAGCGTTAGGCCTGGTTCTCATTGATTTCAGTGAAATTTTTCAGGGTAATAGATCTATATTTACAAATATAATTGAAGAGTCCAGGGAAAAAAAACGATCATACATAGTTCATTCGAAATCGATTTTAGGTTAGGTGGATCATTTATAAGGGGAGCCTTAAGGCTGGTTCTCAACGATCTCAATGAAATTTTCCAGGATAATAGGTCTATATTTACAAGTGTAATTAAAGAGTCCAGGAAGAAAACGATCATACACAGTTCATTCGAAATCGATTTTAGGTTAGGTGGATCATTTATAAGGGGAGCCGTAAGGCTGGTTCTCAACGATCTCAATGAAATTTTCCAGGATAATAAGTCTATATCTACAAGTCTAATTGAAGAGTCCAGGAAAAAAAATGATCACAATTCATTGCAAATCATTTATAAAGGGAGCCTTAGGGCTGGTTCTCAACGATTTCACTAACATTCGCAGATACACCCAAACGGAATTACGTTAAACTACTCTAAGGAATCTACAAAATTTCAAATGTACAGTTCATCTGTATCCAATTTATCCTGTTTGCTACTTAACATTCGTTTTAAGGCTCATTTACACGATACGATAAAACGTATTTCCTTCCATCTCAAACCGTGGCAATCTAAAATTTAAAAAACTAAAAAATTGTCAGGACATTCGATATTTCCAAACTTCTCAAGATATACAAATCCCTACCGCTACGAATCAATGAAAATTTCGCAATTTCGTCCAAGCGTCGTTCATGAAAATCACTTCAACCGAGCACATTTGCAATCTTCGTATCCCCAAACAGTCGCGATACATATATACAAGGTGTACCAAAAAAATTCACAAGCTTTTCGAAAGAAAGAAGTGCTCATCTCCACAGACGAAGAAACATTCGTGCAGCCTCGCGCGACACGCGTGCACAAACACAGATGCACGCGACGCAGAAAATTCATTTCGCGGTCCGATCACCTCTGACACGAATGGAGAAAAGAAAAAAAAAGAAAAAAGAACGACAAGGTCTAGCGAGTGTACTATACGAGCAACGAAAGGTTCTGCTTACTCGAGTAGTGATCCTCCTCCGATATGTCGGCTGGCTCCGGGGTCGAGATGTTTTCCTGAAACAAGATGCAAACGTGTCGTTAGTAACGCATACACCGCCACTTGTCCCGCGCAGTTCGAACGGTTTTCTCGCCCCGAGAGGTGCAAAAGCGCCTTCGAACTTTCCCACACAAACAAGTCGCGTGTGCTTTTCACGCGACTGGTAATTCTTAATAAGGACGACGCGATGGAAACAGGTCACGTTTCGATTTGAACTTGCTTCACACCAGTTCTGCGACACTTTTCCGCCCGGGGATTACATAATTACGCGTTCATTGTACGTTACAGGCCGATTGTAGCTTGAAATATCATCGGGGAATTATTTTATCTTGTACAATGTTGTCGAACGTTAAATAGAAACGAAGAGAAACAACGTTCGTTCGTTTTAACCCTTTCTCGCTTAGCAATACTTTGTTTAACGTAATTGCTATTAAATTACGGTGTTGGATGTTTAGAATATGCTTGAATTTTTCATTGGTTGCTTTACAGTTAGAATTTCAAATGGAAAAATTACTGTTAATTAATTAGGGAATTACCAGCCAGTTATCATTAGAGAGATTGAAAATAATAAATCAAATTAAAACTAGATACATTATACATTCGACGCTGATTCTAGTGTTAACACTCTATAACGATACATCGCTTCGAAGTTACATTTCCATTTTTATCTATATTTTATACGTCTCATTTTATCTGTCTATTGCTGTACCATACCATTGTTCTATTATTACCAGTCAATTCTTAATTTGCAACATTTTCAAGGATGCAAAATTCCAATTAACCATAACTCTCCTTCTCGTGAACGAAGAAGAATCGGGTTGTAAGAAGGTTGGATAAATCATTCTCCAAAGTTTCTTCTCACGCCTCGCGGTAAGCGACACTATCTGTCGTATGGACGTTATTTTGTGTCACTTGAGAACCACGTGTTACAGTTTTGTCGGTTTACAGATCTCGGGCATTTAAATTTTCGTCGCAGTAGCAGATGTCGCAAATTTAACCCTTCGACCGCTATCGGCGCTTATAGACGCTCGGTGATAATCGAACGCTGGATACTGTCACCGCACTTCCTATTCATATTCTACTTTTTATATTCACATATTAGTTATTTTGCAAATATAAAATACAACATGTTCAGCAAAAATGTAGTATGACTGTTAACGCCATAACTCACAATCAGTGGTACACAGCCAGAGCTTTACTTTCGAGTTACCAGCAGTCAAAGGGTTAAAATGTACCGAAAAAAGAACTGACTTTATCGTTACCGTATTTTTTCTAACCAGATAAGCTAAATTTCACCGTTTCGTGTATCTTCAGTGAACAGTCGTTGATTAACCCATTGCACTCGAAGTTTCTTTTCATTCATATTACCAGCAACTCGAAGCAATTTCAGTGGAAAGATCATATTCACATATGAGTAAATGATATGCGCATTAAAAGAAAAGTCATTGTTGTATGTTATTGTTTTTTTAATGGATTATGGATACAAATGTTATAATATATAAAAAAAAAACAAAAAATTATAAAATTATTACGATTATTACTTTACGATTTGTCTTTGTCCTTATCTTATGAACTGAAAATTATTTGCATTGTCTCCATAGCGGAGCCCTCGAGTTCGAAGACAATATCGAGTGCAAAGGGTTAAAAATTATAATTAACCTAACCCTGATATTGTCACTTTATTTCTACACAAACCCAAAATCATATTTTTCGTATCGTGTCTCTAATAATTCGATCACCCACGATCTAAGCACAAGGTGTGTACATGCAAAGTGAGCACGGCGTCGAAGTCAAAAGGCGTCGGTCGCGTCCGAGCAACCCTGCCGCGACAGCCGGGTAACGCGAATCCGTAGAAACCGGCGAAGTGGGTCGACCTGACGGGAACTCGATTATTGAAAAATTAAGAGGCCGCAACAAGCCAGGCGAGCCTCACGGGTCCCGTGGTCGAGCGTGCACACGCTCTGCGTCCGGACGCCGCGTTTCACGGAATCGCCGATTGTCTTCGCCGTGGCGATTGCGCCATCGGTGAAACACACCGAGATATACATAGGCTTTCCGTACACCCACGGAACGGCCGTGGACTTTATTGTCCCGGATCGAGAACCGGCGGCGGCGGCGGCTTGCGGTTCGTCCGAACGCAAATTACTTACGCCTCGGCTCGGCGACGTGCCGTGGGAGACGGGATTAAGGCACGTCGAGAATCCTGGATCGATAGCGCGGCACGGCGAGCCGCGGGAAAACCGAAAGCCGCCCCCAAATTACCCGGCGTTCATGTCACCGAGAATCGCGACGCTTCCGAGACTTTTAGGCTGGGACGTGGATGGGGGGTGCGACGTCGTTGCGATTCAGCAGGTTTGTATTTTCAGCTTTTTAGTTTTCTTACTGTTGTGGGGTTTAAAGGTATTTGAAAAAATTCTGGGGTATTTATGGAAGTTTCTACTACGTTGTACAAATTTTTCAAACTTTTTTTGGTGGAAATAAAAATTCTGCGAGAAGAATTTGGCTTGGGTCATCAGTGGCCCGAGTTTCGTTCGAGTGTAGTAGGCCGGGAGTCAAGGATCCTTTACTTTTGGGCTGTCGAACTGACTGGGTCACATATGACCCATCGCAAGATTTATTTTTCTGTAGGTACATTAGGGAATCAATTTTTTCAGTTAGATGTAAATAGGTAGGTGTAAATACATTAAGCTACATTTCTGAGTAACTTAAAAAAAAACGGTGCTATTAATTGATGGTAGAATGACCTTTAATAATGGCACACTGAAATCGCCATAACAGCGGCTGTCGCACAGTGCTAAAAAAAATGTAGCCTCCATCCACGTAAAAACTATTTACATCAAATTATTGCCCAAATTATTGCTATTGACAAAATTGTTGCCCCACCCTGTGTATCCCATGAACCTTATACAAACAAATAAAAATTCCATATCATTCAAATTTCATATTTAACATTTTTCCATATTTCTATAAATAACATAAATATTCCAGATGAACAAAGTTTCTATCCCACAAACCTACACACACAAATTCCCCCGCTCCACAAATTTTTTCCACATTCGCATAAATAACAAAAATATTCTTCTCAGATAACCCTGCAAACTCGAACAATACGGGTCACAAGAGACCCAGCTTCGTCTACCAACGATCCAAGAGGGTTAATAAGTTATGTCACTATCAATGTCAACCAGCGACATGTCGTCATTTCTGAAATAACCGATTCACAACTCTCCTTCACATTCACAGCCGGGAGAGGCGAGCCCAGCGGCATTTCCATCGGTTCCACGATCACGAGGTCATCGTATCCTCCCATACTGGATCCGCGGCGGCGGCGGCACCATTCGTCCTTCCCTCGTCACCAGGGTTTCCCGTTGAAACGAGCGGTCGGTTTCGCAAGGCGTGTGCAGAACCAGCGGCCCGACCGAGCGCGGCTCTCCTATCTGTGTCAGGTCTCGTGTTGCAACTGCAGAAGGTCGACCGGTATACGCGCCACGGAGAGCACGGCCAATTGATACCGGCCGCAACTTTGTCCGGCGGTGTTGTAGGACGACCGGCACCGACCGACTTGCACGCGCATACCGCGCTACAGCCGCGCAAAAAGCGCCGCTGATGTAACCGAGAAATTCCGGCCATGCCGTATACGCGGCCGTTCGGCGATCCGCAAACACCGAATCCGGCTACGGAAGAATCTCGCCGCTGCAACGTTCCCGCTCGACAATTTCACAGACGTTACTTACGGGCTGATCTTCGCTAAGGTGGGTAAAGGTGAGATTTTCTCAGATGGAGACGCGGGAGATTCGGAAATCGAGGCGATTTTCTTGGGAAAGTACTGTGCCGTTGATGAGAAGATATTTCGCCTTTCTGCATCTTCAACGCGTTCAGAATGACAGATAAATTTGAGAAAGGATCGCACTATTGGCAGAGTTTCTTGTGGTCGATGTGTGTATTATAATTAATGCCTAATTTTTCAGTATACATATTTAGGATGGCAGTGAAATTTAAGAAACGATCACTATACCACCAGAGTTTCTTATGATCGAAGTGTGTATTGTAGGAAGCGACAGAAAAATTTCGAGGGACCCAAGGGGAATCGAACCCGGGACCTTCGGCTTAGCAACCCGAGGCTTTGCGCACTACGCCAACTACTCCCTCTCTATTCTCCCTTGTCGGTTTCCTATTTGGCTATGGAGGCCCCCGATACTACAGTATTATAATTAATATTTAATTTCTCAGTATGTAATCTGAGAACGTGGTGATTCACCGCTGGATTACACTCTCTGTCCAATCTTTTTTGCCATTTTGAGTGACCCATCGATGGGTCACATCGGCAAATAAGAGATTAACACTTCGACGTCCGCAAATTTCGCTCAAAATCTCTCTTTTCGACTCTCGCTTTTCGCTCAGTCTTTTACAGTGTAATTACGACACATTTTTTGAGAAAAATACATGGAATACGAAGTTTTACAGCCAAAGAAAGAAAGAAAAGATGAAGTCACGTATACGTGACAACTGACGTCAAAATCTTAACGCTCTGGAAGCGGCTACCTTAAGCTTTTTGACGACTCACGCTAACATAACGGTAAGATTCGAATATCTACGATGGCTAGATTTCAGGACGGTAGATACGCTCTGAATCTACGTTTACGCTAATGTTCTGAATTTCACCGCTCTATCAACTTCGACGTGTCCCGTTTGCTCTCTTCGTCACGCGATCCTACATGACCCGATTAGCAGATGCGACCGTTTCGGTCAATGACAAAAATACACGAGCCCTGCCTTCATGATTGTGCAAGAGACAGTGGGCCTGTTACACTGTAAACAATCTAACCAGCATTCCTTCCTCTACCTAACTTCTCATCTCTTCATAGTACTATTAAAATGAACATCCCCGTAGACACATCTTCTCCGACGCAATCCTACTAATTAGGCAATCCCCTAATTTCAGCTGTTAAAAGAGCGTCACGTCAACAGTACGTCAATTTTAACAACAATTGAATTTAGACACACCTTCTCTGACACA